AAAGTCTCTCGGATTCTTTTTAAAATTAAGTTACTCATCTCTCTAACCGATCTCAAGCACTTATGACATCAGTATGGTACAGACCATAGCAGATCACCAGTATGGCTGCTTGTGAACCGAACACAAAGAATACAACCTGGGGGGTAGCTGAGATCTATATATATATATATATATATATATATATATATATATATATATATATATATATATATATATATATATATATAAGATAATCACTGAAATTCTTTAATAGGAGTGGTAAGTGAACAATGTATGGTGCTTAAAAATTCCATGCCACAAAAAAATTATAATAAATTGGTTAAACCGATAGCTACACAATTATTTTCGTAGGGAGCGCAATGAAATTTAATCAACTTAAGAATAACGAAGGCCTGTAACGATTCTTTATTATTCAATTATGGGCAATAATCTCCTTAAATAATTACTAAACCGCAATATGTGATAATAATGCTATTATAGTAAAATACTGGCGGGATATTCGGTACTATCGGATTACTATTACGGCAGCTCATCCTTAACTTGGCTGAGAAACCCCAAGGGGTAGAGTTGATCATAATCACATCACAGTGAAGTTACCCGTCAGAGGAGAAATTGCATTAGAAGGGTTGATACGGCAGAGTATTAGTTAGGAAAGCGAACGAGAAGTTGGAAAGTTAATACTTAGCACGTTCATGATACATCTACTCACCACCAATGAAATATATTAAATACAGCAGGGATACGTAATATTTTTTATCTTTTTCTTATCCATCACTCTCAAACAGTAGCCCTGTACGAAGGTCGTGTATTTTTTTAATTTATACATGTTCCAGGCATTAATCATAAAAATTTATTTTATTTATTGTATATAGAGTGTGAATGTGATCTGTGAACATTATTATAAATGTCCTTGAGACAGATTGTAATACTTCTCAATAAATAATCCAAAAAAAAAAACTATAAAAAAATTAAATAAATTGGATACAACGACTCTTCAAATAGCAACTCAATTATTCTCAAGTATACATGTATCTATCAATAAAATATTACATTGTTTTTATAAAACTACCATGATTCTTATAAAATTACATGATGAAGGTTATAATGTAAATATCAAATTTCTCTACTAATAAAACATACGAAAAAAAAAACACCATGAGAAAGGTACACAAAAACCATAGCAAAAAAAAACTCAAAATTAAAAACAAATAAATGAAATAACATAACTATAATGATAGTCCCTTCGATCTTTTTAAGGCAGTTGAAGAACAACTTCAATAGAAAATTTCCGAATTTCTATTATATTTCTTGAAAAATGTATTTTTCCATTAACGGCCTTGTAGAATTACGTTTTTTATTAAGAAATAACTTTTACTGCCGAAAAAAGGATAGTCATGTTTATCTTTTTTTTTTCTAGTTAAACAAAAAAGTTAAAATAAATCAGTCATCGGAATAACCGTGATTTCATACAGTGTGAACCAGACAATTTATTGATTAAGACGGTTGGATTTTTTTCAATTCAATAAATTTCCTCAAAACGTTTCAAATATAAAAAAAGGTATCATATAACTTAATTTATTATCGACTGGTTGGTTATAAATAATCAAAACATCTCTACTGTGTTAATTCAAACGCGACCGAAGGACCAACACAAAGCTATAATTTTACAACGTAAAGGTCAGCAATCTTTAACAAATGAACCATAAATAAATAATACCTTCTGGGTCCCTTCAGAAATAAACCTAATCTTATATGTTCCGAAATATTATTATAAATTATTCTGAGTTTATCATTAAGGGAATTTTAAATTTTATTTAATTTATACATCGCGGAAATGCGATATAAAAAATTCACAAATTGGTTGACAAAATCTATATTTAAAAAAAAAATTGACTTGCAATATTTATATATATATATATATATATATATAAACTCGCTCCGTTTTTAAGTATGCAAGTTGTTCGGCCTTATTTTACACCCTTTAAGCTTTAAAAATTAATCAAATATATATACCACAATCCCTCTAATAATTCCATTGAAAAAGTATTATAATTTACAAATCCTTACAAGGCATTTAATTATACTGAAGTACTAAGATATCTGCGCTTTATTCTAAATGTGAATCTAAGCTGAAGACGCGGTTCACCAATTTTTTTTGTTGCGACTCCCTTTTTGCACTCTTGTAGGATTAAAAAAAAATCGTAGCATTATTTTTACTCTTAAATCAGTATTATAATATAATCTTTGCCCATTTATAGTGTAATATGAGGGAAACAAATGAACCTTGGGTCACTGTTTTTTAATTCTCCGTAACTTCTAAAATAACAATGATTTTTAAACGTTCAAAATTGAATTTCATTAGTCATGCTTTAAAGATATTATTTAAAAATAATAAATGAGCCAAGGTACAATTACTATAGTTGCACCTTGTGAAAAATTTGTTGTAATATGAATTATAATTATTATTCAATAATCTACACGGGTAAGCTAACTTATTCATGTCATCTGTTGAAAATTCACGCTATATTACGCACACTATACTACAAAGTACATAATAAAACAGTGGCCCGAGGTTCAATGATATTAATTTATTTTGTTTTTTTAATTTAATATTTTATTAAATATTTATTAAATGACCCAAGGTACAATTACTATAGTTGTACCTTGAGAAAAATTTGTTGTAATATGAATTATAATTATTTTTCAATAATCTACATGGGTAAGCTAACTTATTCATGTCATCTGCTGAAAGTTCACGCTATATTACACATACTGTACTGCAAAGTACATTATAAAACAGTGCCCCAAGGTACAATGATATTGATTTATTTTGTTTTTTTAATTTAATATTTTATTGCTCAGGACTCCTGAGCTACAAAATGATGAAGTACAAACTGTAGCCTAACTCAAATATAAAAAATGTTTAAGTTTTTTAACTTCACATCTATAAATGTATAATGACAAATACTATTTTTAAAAAAATGGTGTTTGAGTTAGTAAGTACATTAATATCGGACGACCAAGATTTAAAAAAAAAATCAATAATAATTACAGAAAACGGAAATACCAAGACATACACAGAAACAGAATGTAATGCAAGAAGAATAAGTCAGTGGGAACACGTTATGTCATATGCACAAAAAAAAAGACCTCTATACCAGTCACAGAGGAGGGTGCGATGTGGAAATAACGGCGGGTCGTAAAACCGAGTTTAACCTTCGCTAACCCCTCCATCCGCCTCATTCCTTTCTCTGAACCTTCCCCTACAACTATAAAACTGATGGGAGATCAACCAATCAGCTTATTCCTATTAGAAACGCGGTCGCTGAGAAAAGGGTGATGTGCTAGAACTGCTGAATGGTTGTAAAAACCTTCTAACATCATGTTCCACACCCTGACCGAATAATCGATAAATTGAGACAAAGCAGCCGTATGAGAGGAGCCGATCCGGCAAAAATATTGATCACATATGAGCTGCCCGAGGTCGACGATAAAGGAATACAATTAATCGTTCTTATTAAAATTAAATATAAATATTTCTTACTAATATTATAAAATGGATGTTATTAGAAATAAAATAAACGTACCAATATGAGAAGTCTCTTATTTCCTTGATACATGAATAAACCCCCGTCCTTAAAACTATAAGAATATTTTTGCAAGGCATGAAAAATCAAGCCTTAAGTTTTATAATGCCAGAACGTTAAACTAAATCGGGCACATACGTAAAAGAAGAAAAGAAAATAGACCGTATAACTGTAGACAAAAAACAGCACACCAAGAATCAAAAAAAGAAATACCGACACTGTGGAGTTATCTGTTCTTTTTTGTTTGTTGAAAAAAAAAAAAAAAAAAATATATATATATATATATATACATATATATATATGTATGTATATATATACATATATATATATATATATATATATATATATATATATATATATATATATATATATATATATATATATATGAGCAGAAGACTGCTAACATGCTAAATTTAAGAAATCTATATTACAGAGGATTAAAATCACCGTGATGAAAAAGTTAAAATTAAAACCAATCGCCACCTATCGTCCTGAGCGATATCCGAGGCTCCAGAAAGTAAAGGATTCTACGTTCCGGTGCGAGAACATGGGTAGTAGAGAATTCTTACCATGAAGAGATGTACCAGGTTTGTGAGAAACCGGGATTCGGCTTCAATTGTCAGGAGAAACTAAAGAACATGGTTTAATCAAGTGGCGCTTATTCTTAGATCTAATACCCAAAATCCTACTCGTGGATTGACCAAGTAGAAGGAGTGGTAGAAGACTACTCCTGAGATGGCCATCCAGAAGAGGTTGGAAATTTGCCAAGGTTAGAAGAGCGTAGAGAAAGATAAAAAGAAAGGTCCAGGGACTTCCATGACCGTAGCGTCGAGAAACATAAATGTTTTTTTTTTTACAAAATGTTGACCGTTTTAATTCACTCGCGTTTTAATTAAGCACTTGAGGCTTTGAAATATTCCGATTATATCCTATCAAATGTTTGTGCCCTTGGGCAATAAAAGGAAAGTTGAAAATTTATGTATATATACATTTATATACATACTGTATTTATTCAAGAAATTCCTGGGGGTAGGAAAAAAAAAAAAAAAAAAAAAAAAATCAAATGTTTGTTCTTTCGGAATTTTTAATATTTTATAATATCAGCTGTAAAACATTATGAACACCTTACTTAACGAAGACTTATAATTTATACTACACTAAGAAACAATAAAATAAGTATATAGTTCAGATAAATTGATTCTCCAAATGTCCAAAATATAGCGATATATTGATGTTAAAAAAAAAAAATTCATAAGAAGAGCTATAGAATATGGATGACGCCAGAGCGATGAGTGGGTGACGCACCTCTGTCTTAAATTTTTTTATCTTCAAAAAATGTTTTTTTACCACTGATATACATGACAGTATCCAAAAAGTATAACTTAGAAGCATTCCTTTAACAGCTTATAAGGGATGAAAAAGAACATCCCTTGTAGTGAGTACTCTACAAAATACCCTTTTACGTATTACCCCAGAGCTCTTGAAAACGGCTCGTACAGAACCTACCCCACCATGACCCCTCTGAGTCATTCAATCGATCGGAGAGAGGGCGCCAAAACTGGATCATAGGTCAGTTCCCAATTCGCTCAGTTCACTGTAGTTATATATTTTTTTTAAATAGTTCATCACGTGGGACAAAAATAAAGCATAGTGAAACTGACCTCTCTCTTTTAAACTCAACGATTTTAACAAGTGACATAACCAAATCACAAAAAAAAATTCTGCCAGAATACACTCCTTCCTGCTTCAAATTGAAAACATCGATCCATGTGACGGATGTTCTTGCATAGTGGCCCTATATTTTTTTATTTCCTAAAGTGAGAATGATTCCAGAGAATCATCTTCCATGACATGGTTGTAGAGAGGATAGGGGTAAGGTGGGTCAAATTAACATATTTCAGCAAAATTTATGGTTAATACCTTGACTATTAGTATTTTAATGTTTATAAAAATCACGATTACGATAAAAAGACATCCTCCACTTGAAAAAAAAAAATTATTTACTTTGTCATCTTTCTATTTTGAGGTGACTATGCCTCCTGTCTCTTTATTTCTTGGGAAATTTAATTAATAATAATGATTATACAGTGGTAATTATTTTATACTAATTCACTAATTTTTATTGTTTATAATTTATATTGCGCTTCTTAAAGAATTTAAAAATGGTCATGACAATTAACTCCAAAAGTTCGGGCTAACAAAATGAATTATGAGGCTGATCTGTCCTCTCCTTTAAAAAAGGATCAACATTTGGAAGCCAAAAAAGTGCCCTTGGGCCAGCCTTCAGAAATCCGTTGCCAAATTACTCCCTGCAAAGTCTGCGTCCTTCGTAAATATTAATTAATCTTCCACATTTAGCGTGATACCGTCTAGAAGCCATGGCGGATGGCCGTGGATGTCTGCAATCATCGCCATGATTCAAGAAGATATAAAGCAACAGTGCACAGTGATTTATCACTTAAGCATTATTCTCATTAAGTACTGAACCACTGGAGGAAAATATATATTACGCCTCATTATTTATTATTATCAATTATTTCAGTTTGATTGTTAGAAAAATGAATTATATTTAGAATACTAGATTCGATATCAGTGGTATGAAAAAAGTATTTCGGGACGTATTAAATTGAGATCGTACTATACAAAAAGTCACTATATTTATAGACAAAATATAAGAATTAAATAACAGCACTAACGGGTTAAAAAAAAAAAGAGAGTCTTGCAGTGGAAAGGAGAGAAAGAAAGGGGAGTGGGAGAAAGAAGTGGTCGGAGGAGAGGAAGCACGACACTCAGACAGGATGTAAGAGGTATTGAAGAAGAGAAAAAAAACTAATACAAAGAAAACTAAACTTGTCTTGAGGAAAAAATGGCAATATAATGATTATAAACAAGAAAAAAATAATTAAAATTTTGGGAAATGATATTATAAATACGATTTGGCCTAAAGAACTTGGATAATGAGAAATGTTAACTTAAAATAAAACATTGTCAATTACTCGACGGACTTTGGACTTGATGCGTTGAAAGAATTGGATGCGTTTGATGTTCCAAATCACAATTTGATTCGACACCATTGGTTTAGTAACGCACTTGTAGATCACATATAAAAAGTTTATGTAGGAAAAAAAAAAAAAAAAAAACTTCAGATAGGTAACTTCTTAAAAACGCTGCACATTATTTCACAATGGTTAATTGTTTCCAAACATTTATAAATCTAAAGTAGCATTACCTTCCTAGTAACAAAGATAAAGAAATAAAAGGTGATAGCAATTATTGACCTTAACATTTTTTTTTCTTCATTAGTAGTTTGCTAAAAAAAATATAACATTACTTCATTAACACATTAAAAAATCAAAATCAAAACCCAAATGATATAACCTATGCAATAGAACACATAAAAACATCTAGAGACCATATCTTTCTTCCAAATTTTCCGATTATAACGATTTTTTATTTTTTTTGCTTTTTAGGAAATTTTATAAACTTTTAAATAATTATATACAATATCGACAAAAAATTGTATACTTTTTGAGTTATTCGGAATCTAATTAGACCATTCCTCTTAGTTTTTTTCCAACTTCTTTTCGTTGAAGTATGTTATACAGATAAATTTAAAGGGCATCGAGAAATTTTAGGACTTTAGAGAAATTTCATTGAAATCGTTACATTCGTTTAAGCGCTATAGTCTATAGCAACGCAGGTTTTTCGGAAGCCATCTTGAAAGGAAATAGTGGATAGTAATGTCGATTAAGGAGGATCATCCTCAAGTGATCTCTCGGACGGCAGACGGACAAATAAATTTTTATTCGTTTTTTCTACGTATCCTGAAACGAAAAACCTCAAATTTTGAGAGGGAGTCTAGTTTTTGATTTTTTTTTTCGATCATAATGATTCATTATTGAAAATAATAAACCGAAATAATGAAGTCTAAAAAGTTCAATCACTAAAATATTTTTAATTGTACCACTAACTTTAAAGGTGAATTCCTAATGTATAAAATTACTAAGATATCCCGGAAAAGTTGAGAGATGCTCAAGAGAATAATAACTTAAATCAATTAGAATAAATTATAACTTTAAGCACCGCGGATATTAATATTTATGCCGTATCGAAGAGGAGTTTGCTCAAGGAACCCACCCTTGTTCAAAAAAGACCCTCCCAAACTTCCACACCTGCCTCTAATGGTTCTTTCGTTATATATAACAAGTGATTTATATAATAAGTAATTTTATTTTTGCCAGTAATCGAATGTGAAATAAATATTAAAATATATAAAAATACAAATTAATATAGTCTCTAATAACTCGGGTGATTGAGTATAATGATCGCCATGACCTCCATGCACTTTGACTCCATGACTCCATGGGGATTCAATATTTCATTTGAAGGGAGGGGGAAAGGGGCTTTGTTTTTATTGCTTGCTTTCTGTGTTAGAGCTCTAAGACTAGGGTCTTAATAAAGAAATGCCAACAAAACGACTATCACAAGATTCTGCAACGGTTTAATCGAAATTCCTGGGTAGCAGTACAAAATACTTCATACCACTAAAATACAGCAATTGTGTCACGAAAACTGTAATAACATTCCTTTTTATATTCCTTATGGATGCATTTCTTTTATGTCAATTAATATAAACAGCAAACAAATTTAATGACGTTGTATTAATTAAAATTACAGAAAAACAATATTAACAATCAGCGTTAACTACACCATGTTTATGTTATTTACGTAATAAAGACAGAAAACTCATTGTCTTACGTTATGCTTTTAAGCAAATATCTTAAGAACTCGTATTGTCCAAAAGAATTAAGCTACTTTGTTAACTAATGAGCCATAATAACTGGCAATATCTTGCTTGTAAATGAGACAGTTAATATTATAATTAGGTATTTAATGTTATGCCTTCCTAATAATATCTTATTTAATATTAGTTGAACTAATTATACATATAATTAATTTATAAGCAAGGGCTACAAGAATTATATATAGGTGAGAATGAATCATTGCCAAAAATTGACAAGACTGACAACTTTTGAAATAGTTTATTTTTATGTATCTTGTTTTAATATTGAAAAATTTTTCATACAGTTAGTCCATTTTTGATAAAATATATATTAAGTTCTTATTTAATTCTATATATATTTTTTTTTTTTAACCAAGAAGACTAAATTGAAAAAGGAAAATTTATTCCATACTGGACTAACGTAATAAATCTCATCTTTCTCATGTTAAAAGGGGTTTCTAATCTGCATATTTATCATTATGAGCCCTAAAGAGGAAGTACAGTAGGGCTTAGGAATAATGAGTGAAACGGTAATAAGGGTTGACAGCGCGAGGGTTAGGCCTTGAGGGACTTTTTTTTCTTCCTTTGATATTCCCCATTCCAAGTTACACCGGACAGTAATTTTTATGTAAGACAATATAGCTATCAAAAATACAAACAAATTTACATTCATTTTTATACACTTTACTACATAGCACTCATAAAATTATCAAGAATTTTTTTTTCTACGCACAGGCCATTCATAAACATGTACATCAAAGGCTGTTGTTTCAGAACAAGTCCTGAGAATCTGTGACTATTTAAAATATTGGGCTGTTTGGACTATATAACCTCGTTATTTTGAAATGTTGGACGTGGAGGTCACGACAAACGGCCCGATATCTTTGGAGACCTTCTCCTTTCTTGCTTTTCTGATCAAATTATCTTACCATCCAAGAGGAAAGCAAAAAAGGTGTTGATGGGTTTTTTTATTGTCTCATTAAATAGAGAAAGTTTACAAATATCCAGATTGAAAACGCTCCATTTACGATAATTTTCGTTAATAAAAAAATTTTACGTTCCTAAACATCGTAAAAAGAAACCATCCACGAGGCTTTAGGCAAATGTTAATTATTAATATAAAAAGAGGTCTCTACAGGGACTACAAAGGAGAATTTCCAAAAGTTATACTGTGATAAGTGAACAAATTTCGAACCGGTTCTTGGACTATCTGTATTTTGGCAAAACGGGATGACGGGAGATGTTCGAGTCAACAGAGAATTGACATAACTGCATTTTCCTTCTATTAAAGAGTGTTATTTTCATCGTAAGCAAGCAATGTTTTTTTTTAAATTAGTTTTAGAAACTTAAGGAAGTCAATTTGGTCATCCCTAAAAATATATTAATGCCAGGGCCGGATCCACTTAAGAACCAGATGAATTCCATACACAAAAGTTTATATATATATATATATGTGTGTGTGTGTGTGTGTGTGTGTGTGTGTGTGTGTGTGTGTGTTGTGTGTGTGTGTGTGTGTGTGTGTGTGTGTGTGTGTGTGTGTGTGTGTGTGTGTGTGTGTGTGTGTGTGTGTGTGTGTATACATACACACACACATAAAGGCTGTCCCATAGGTAAATGTAGGCCGCAATTGAATTATTTCAGAAACCGTTAGAGACATAATTACTAAGGACCACAGGTGTAGCTCTCAATGAGATCTTTCACATGCATAATTTATTAAACTTTAAATATCTAATTTTAAGTCGGTGTTTCCTTTTTACCACACATTTTTAAAAACTACTCAAAATAAATGATATATATATAATTGGTAATTGGTTGACTGTCGTGGATAATGAAGAGAAGAATAATTGGGGTGGTCATTCAAAAAGGAAGCCAAAAATAAATGATAATATTTATTTTTACATATGCCGACGTTTCGACCTGAAGTTCAGGCCTTCAGCAGGGCTAAGAAAATAACCAGATAACAAGGTATGAGAAACATAAGAAGTGATGGTAAAAAAAATAAAATAAAATAAATAAATAAATATAAAGTAAAATGAAATTGTTAGAATAATGACTAAGAAGTAAGAGATAAATAATAATAACCGTTACAAAGTGTGGAATGATGAAGTAGGCGTAACTTTATATTTATTTATATATTTTTTTTTTTTTTTTTTTTTTTTTTTTTTTACCATCACTACTTATGTTTCTCATACCTTGTTATCTGGTTATTTTCTTAGCCCTGATGAAGGCCTGAACTTCAGGTCGAAACGTCGGCATATGTAAAAATAAATATTATCATTTATTTTTGCCTTCCTTTTTGACTGACCACCCCAACTATTCTTCTCTAAATTATATATATTTTAGTAATTTTGTTTAGTCTAGTATTTTGTCATAAAATTCCTTAGCTGGAACATTGACATCTGTGAGCCTAAAACTCGATCTTTTTGAATAATTGATTCCACAAATTCAGTTAAAAATAATTTCCAAATGAACAGAGCAAAGCAGCAACTACTTTGAGCTACAATCTTCAGATATTTCAATAATAAATAAACAATTTTAAGTGTAACTATTCCGACTTTCCGAGTTATTCCTTGTTTTTCAGTAATAAGTATAAATAAAATTAAATTGTTTAATACAATTTATTCTTCAATTGAAATTGTACGATTGTGCAATTCCTTTTTTCAAGATTTCAAGAATTTTTTTTAAGAGGGAGGCGTATTCGCGATAATCTTCTGTATCTGCTAGTACTTCAGGCTGAAGGATAACAAAAGATATGAAAAGTTATTTTGCTTTTTGAATTATTTTGTTTACAGGTTGAATTTCAATAAGTGAGTCTATGTTGGTAAGCGTTAAAATACTCACAAAAAAATTACTTTGAATATCACCTAAACAAAAATTTCTTTTTTTTTTTTCTGTTTAATTAAACATGTGATCCGCCATAGAATAAATAGTTATAGAGTGAAGTGAATACAGTGACTTGGAACCGGTACTAACCAGATGCGGACAGCTAGTTGCGGGGGGAGGAGGGGGTGAAGAGGGGAAGGAGTACTATTTAAAACGAAGTCTGGGGCCGGCAGACAGCCCTTGGTCCGCTGCCAGCAGGCTCAGATATAGGCTACCGGGTCCACCATCGCCTTACCGGTCCAATATATATCCTAAAGAACAACGTACAACGTAACAACGTAAAGTACAAAAACATACCATAAGTTTAAAATCAGTTATGAATCTGTGAATCAAGCATTTTTAAATTGCAAATCAACAATTCCTTGCAGTTCATGAAATATGGATAGCAAGAAAGTGCGGTGGGCACATCAACAACTTTCAATTATCACTTTACTTTTAACAGAAATAGATACTTCAGAACACAGGTAAGTAAAAGTGAAAATTATCAAGATGGTACGACATATTCGTTCAAAACAATTAATTAACTCATGTTTCGACCACCCGTCTAATCTGCTCTGCGTTTTTTTTCGCTTCCCCAATGTAAAATATAATTCATGTCTATATATTTTAATTTTTCTAAAATGTTCTAGTTACCGACGGTACATCTATGCGTGGACGTAAACACTCGGGAATCTTTAAACTTCTCTCTTGACACAGACGACAATCACAAGAGCTCATGTCAAAGAGGCGACATCAGGGGTGCCCAGAAGGGAGTTTCATGGCTTAAGGTGCGCCATTAAAATTTTTGAGGGGAGCACATTTTGAAGGGGCTTAGAATTTTTGCGGGAGGCATATTTCGAAGAATTTTCTGAAGGAAAAGTTTTAACCAGGAGACAAAAGAAAACATGGTCAAGACCACAGCAAATGTAATTGGATATGATCTACATTTCTTCTAATTCTCCTTTCACGTGCACTCTTTTTAAGAAAAGGACAGCAATAAAATTTGGCAGGAAGGGGAGAGAGAAATTTATGCGCCATCGACCTTGGGGAAGATGGGCATCCTGGGCTACCAAGATTAATGAACTAAAGTCTTAAAGTCTAAAGTCTGAAAGTTCAAATCTTTCAGATCATGAATTTACTCTGTACAACAGCTGGTTTATTCTTAAAGGCTTTGACCAAAATAATTTAATGTCTAAAACAGGAAGGAATAAAAATAAAACGTACTATATATCACCACAGAATTAGCGAAAGAACATAATTATTTTTTTATAAGTTTTGGCTTCTAGGAGACTCCTAAGTGGTTCTTGCAAGCCTAACTCTTTACAACGGCTGGCATAACTAAATAAATTTAAGTCATTCTATGGTCCCCACCATCTTCTTTCATTAACATCCAAGACTGTGTCGATCATTGACTACTTTTTATGTTTTGTCGCCTAGGCAAATGTCATAGCTTCAGTTAAAGTTTATCTACATCTCAATAAGCAGACAATATGTTTTCGAATCTGTATAAAAAACAATTCAATCCAAGAATCCTTTCTACAGCTACAGCCCCATCTAATTTAAATCTTCCCACGACTCACAAAAACAAAAAACAAGAGCCCGTTTTTCGCACTCATCTATATCCTTTAACAATACGTATAAGTAATCGAACGTATGTTATTATATAGAACCGTTTCCTTTTCGGATTCTAATATTCCTAATATATCCCTTCTAATACTTGCAATGTTTTCCTCTCAGTATTCGACTCTTATCACTGAGAGCTAACAACTTTACACGCTGAGCTACACTACTTTTTCTTTACTTCTAAAATGTCAAGAGAAACTAAAATATTTGTCTGGGTTTATTTAACACAACAAGGCACAACTACTAAAACATACTAAAAGAAGTTAATCATTTTTTTGAACTTTATAACGTGATAATTTTGATTATTTACAATAACATCTATAGCTATAGATATAACGGTGAAAGGAAAGAAGATATGGCATTAAAATAACATAAAGAGCCTTACAATAACGACATCTACAACAATGGACTCCTCGAAGGCCTTTGTGCCATCAGCACAATGCCCTCACCAAGCGGTGGGGTATTGAAACCCTCTCTCTAATACTTCGCTGAAACATTTCCGATTAGCACCACGTACGGTTACAAATCGTATTTTAAATATGCTGAGGAAAATCTGCTAATAGAGATAATTAATATAGATAAGTGTAATAATGAAATAAAATTAGAAGTAAACTAAGAAAAATATACACTGCAAAATATAGTGTTGCCCAAAATCGGTCTTGGTCACTTGCAAGACCAAGACCAAGGACGCCTAACTGTTCCAAGACCGGGACTGGTAAATAAATCGATTTTTTAAATAAAAATTAAGGTAAAATAGTTACTAATATTTGACAATCTTAGTTACTATATGTTAATAATTGGTATAACCAATATACTTATGCATTTAACTCCTCTAATTTTTCATTCGGGCTTAGTTAGGTTTCTCCTATCTAAAAACATTACAGTAATATCTCTATAGCAACAAGCTAATAAGTAACTGCAAGACTGTGTCGAGACTCTTGCGCAAGACCAAGACCAAGACTGAGTTTGCAAGATCAAGAGTCGTCTCAGTCTCGCATTTGGACAATCCTAGCAGAATACACCGACTTTATGGTTACATTTTTAAATTACGAAATAAAACAGAATAAATAATTAGATCAAAATGTTACAATTATACATACTCTTAACATGGATTTATTATTTATTGAATAATATAAAATTCTGTCACTTGGACTGTGGTTATAGGGAGGTAAGATTACATTCACACTATATGTACAAAAAAAATAAAATAAACAGAAGCAAAATAAGAACTAAATAATAATCAAAAGTTATATACAATAAATATAATAAAATAACTTTAAGATCAGTAAATTTAAAATAAAAAAAAACAAACACATTCATAACTATGCACTATTTACAATCAGCCGAGGAAATCCGGAGGCAGGTTTGTCTCTCCAACTGCAAAGGAAAAAGTAGAGCGCCAGGAGATCTCTGTGCTACTCTATCAACCGCGTCACTGGTGCTAAATACAGTGAAGATTGAAACATGGATTAAGAGAGAAGACTTTATGATAGGAGAAAAGTAAATGCGAAAACGAGGTATTAAGAACTATAAACAACTTATTTAAGAAAGCAAAACTGACATTTATTTATCGCCTATTTCCTTCCTTGTAATTCGACAATACGGGATTACGTTATGAAGATCATGGAAAAGCAAAACTGACAGAGAATTTAAAATTTTTTGAGTAGATATTTAGTATTTCAGAGGTGGATAAAAGAACGAAAGGTGAGGATATCAAGAATATATGAAGATTTATATTTACATCATTAACACTTTTTGTATGCACTTGATGTAAATGTTTGTTAAATAAATTTTGTATTTGTATTTCAAATTCTCTGATTATCTCCCTCCTTCTCTTCCTCCTTTACTCGCTTCTCTAAATATTAAATTAAATAAATGGTTATTTCACAGACTCGTATCAAGTTATTGAAGATATAATGACAATTGCGTACGATAAAACATGAAAATAATTATAATATGGTTTCAAATTATAGTAAATTTCATCTAGTTTAAAAATGTAAAGAATTTTTTTTCCTTCTAAAAAATCTCTTTCATGATCACAATGGGGGAAAATCAAACAAAGTTCGAAAATAAAGCATTACTAGTTGGCCCGTGCAAATAATTCGCAGAAAATTTTGTTTAGTGAAGAAATAGAAAAACAATATGGAAATAAGTAGATCCTATGTATTATGTGAGGAAGGAATTAATACTTTTTCCTTGGTCGATTACAATATTCCATTTAACATAATAGACCAAAATATTTGTATAAACTGCTTTGCTAGGACTTATTTTTAAATATTGTTGCTATTTTTAAATACTGACTGGGAAGATAATAAAAGTAATAAAACCAAATATTCATAGGATTATCTAAATTATTAAAAAAATAAAATGTAAGAACAAACAAATATCTTGAAGAAATAATAAAGTTAATATATCAGCCAGAAAGAAAAGTGTAGTAGACTATTCTACTCCTAAATGCAATATCTTTAAAATGGAAGACATTATTAAGTATACCAAAACTAATGGACTGTATCTTTTTTAATAATTGTCCAATTTTTACGTTTTTTTTTTTTTTTGTTTTGTAGGTAATTTAGTTATCTTTTTAATCATTATGAGTACAATCCAGAAAAAAATCCATAGTTTTTGAGTTATTCACGAATAATGTTTCTTTTTCTTCATAACTTTTTTTCTAGAAATTTCGGAAGGATAGGACTATTTTTGGTATGTGAAGGAGAAGAATATCTTCAAAATAAGTGGTCAATTATTAGATTTGATGTAGAATTGACGAAGTTATGCAGTACCGACAAAAAAACACCCTTTAGAAATAATATATAGAATTGAGATTTATAAGTGATACGGTGGGCAGCCGAGGTCGAAAATTTTGTATCTTAGTCCCATTTTATACTAGAAAAAAATTGAAACCTTCTGCCGCCACTTGATGCAACATAAAACTCCCTTTTCATGACAAGGTTATTGGACTATACAAGGATACAAAAATACATGTATTCGTAGAGCATATTAATGATATTAGGAATGGTGGAATAAATTTTGTGATTAGTGAAAACTAAATTAGTAGATGAATTTGACAAAATTTTTGCTAACAGCAATAAAAGCATATCACTTGAAAAGATAACGTATCTCGTTGGAGCAGACATTACATTTAACATTGTGATAGATCTATTTTAAACTGTGAGACAAACAATATAACAATTGACTATCAGTAACACATGCGTAAAACCAATCTGCCGTTTAGTCTCGGGTAGAAATGTTTAAAATTTAAATTTTTGAGTTCCCTGACTTTTTATGTATTCCCACCTTAAGACTCTTGAGTACCATCCGTAACTTTTTTTTTCTTTTTTTTTTTTTGGAACGCATCAGTAACATGAAGTTACTGAAAAATTAAGGAATTATGGTTGGGGTGATCACTCAAAATAAAAATGGCAAAAATAAAAAATAATATTTATTTATTTATTTTTCCCATTTTTATTTTGACTGATTACCCCAACCATGCATCTCTTCATTAATCACTACAGTCAACCATCAACTCACAAATAAGAAAACAAATTTTGGTTTTGCCTGTTTTAGCATAAGGTTCCACTTTACCATTGAAAATAGTAGTTAAGTACTAATCTTTATTTAATTAATAACTTCCCACCTTTCTTTTACAATGGTTCTTTGGTTTCTCCGACAACT